AAAATAATCGAGAGAATGGGCAAATTAGATTTGTAAAATTAATTCCCGTGATGTTTGATAAGTTTAAAAAGATTTACGCCGAGAACAAACTCGAGAATTTTTGGAAATCCAGAGAAAGAAAAGAGGTCTTCGAGTTAAGACAAAACGACAAGGCGAAGTAACTAATCTTAATTTTGATGATGAGAAACCTAAAACTACTGTTCCCTCTATTACTTTTCTAAATTCTTCAAGCAAAGTCTCCGATTATTCTTCAGAGAGCTCGATTCCTCATGTACTTCCTCCAATTTATACACACGATTCTCCTTGAGAAATCAAGCTTCTTCAGAATTTCGTCAATTACCTCTTCCAATTGATACACATAATTCCCCGTCGAAAAATCAAGCTCCTTCAATAATTCGTCCGGTTCCTCAACATCCCCTAAGATTACCTCCTCCAATTGTTAACGTATTTCATCCGAAAATTACAATGCTTCCTCCAATTATTCCTCCAATTATTCTTCCAGATTTTTCTTTAAATAAAAAATGTTATTTTTTTTTTTTTATTATTTATTACCATTAAATATCTTAAAGATAAATTTGACTTTGATTAAAGTTTCTTTTTAAAGTTCCTTTATTATTTATTAAAAGAAGGTATTAAATATTAAATTTATATTTAATTAATACAAATATAAGAAACAATATAATAAAATATTATATAAATATTAAAATTTAGAAAGCGTTAAAAAAAAATTTTTATATTGAATTTAATTTTATAAAGAAATGAAAAGAAATCAACTATTAATTATCAAAAGGAATTTATATTTGATAAAAGAGAACGATAGAATTCATAGATTCATAAGAACTATTGATCAAGTAAAACGAAATTAGCTGTTGTGAAAGTTGAATAAAGACTGTCACTAGGTTTAGGAGAAGGAATGAATTTTGGAATCTTACATGTCGGTTTAGTTCGTTACGTTTTTTTGAGATTTCTAGTTAAGCTTCTCACTTTACGTGTTGTATTATTGGATGAATCAACATCACTTCTTGGCTTAGACGTAGAAGGTTTAGTTCTTTTTCCTTTACTTCTTCTACCCATTGGAAGTGGTTCATAAAGTTTGATATTATTCTCTCGCGCATAAGCTCTTGTTACTCTACGCGTTACCGTGCTACTTGTTGCTTTCATAGTTGATGTTAAAAATAAAGTTGTTGAGGGAGGAAGTTGCTGAAAACTAAGCCGACTTGCATCTCGTTATATAACAAATTTCACATTGTATTTAGACAATTTCAATAAAGAAAATACAATTTGTTTTAACAATTCAAATTCATTTTTAATGCATTGTATAAAAAAATATTTACCAAATGGAAAATTACGTAAATCTAATTAAAAGTATTTTATGAAAATATTGAATTGTTATCTATTGTTATACAAAAGAATTCTTAATCTGCTTATTTGAAGCAACAATAAATCATCTGCTAAATTTCTGAGATAATTTTAATAATTAAAATTATCTAATAACATCAAAAAATAAAATGTAATAAATTTCATATGTAATATTTGCCACAGGCGCAGTAAATTTCATTACGAAAAGATCACCGTCCCGTTGGAAATGTAGCATTCGGACTTGGGTATATGATACCAACCATACATAGAAAGGAGTTTT